TACCCATGGTTTTTTCTTTCTCTCACTCTCTCTGACATTTAGAACGACGGCCTGGGCTTTGGTATCAGTGTCTCACAACACTACCGGCATCGGTTTAGACTAATCAACAATGTACTACTACTACTATAAACTACTTGCCGCACCATATATGCAATGATGACTTGTCCGCGCTATCATGGGTGAATGTGACCCGCTTGAGCGGAACGCTTACCTTACCCTAACCCTCCCTGGCCATGCAGTGAAGCGGCAGACCATGTCAAGGACCCAATGCTGTCTTGTTGTGCTGAGTGGTGGCTGCCACGCGTGGCCCAAGAGTGGAGACGTGGCGACTGCACCCCACGAAGTCGGCGTCCCGATTTGCGTCCAGCTCACCGCAAGCTCCACCAGCCAGCACGACGTCTTGCTGTATCGTCAAACACCGCCATCTCACCCCGCCCCCAACACTCGTCTCTCCAACTCCAAACTCCAAAACTCCCGCACCTGACCTTGGCTTCCTTCCGACGCTGCCGCTTTCACCATGGCCACTGTCAATTGGCGCACCATCAACATTGATGCCCTAGACCCGGATAGCCCCGCCAACTTTGACCTGAGCTCCCTCGTCCCAGCTGTCACGCCTGTGTCGACAGCCGACGTGCAGAACAATGCGCAGCAGATACGGCAGCTGCTGCGGGGCGGAGACAATGAGGGCGCCTTGCAGAGCGCATTGGAAAATCCACCATATGGGGCTGACGACAAGGGAAAGGTATGTTTGCTGATGCTGTCACCGGTCTTCTCATGGCCCGGCCAAGCATCTTTGAGCAAATTCGGATGTGTCTGACTGCCGCACAGGAGGTTCACCTTGCCATCGTCATTGAGATCCTGCAGTCGATAAGACAATCGGATATGTCACCCATCCTTAGTCGGATATACAGCTCGCCCAGCGGAACAGAGGCACTGGACGTCTTGATGAAGTACATGTACGTGGAGTACTACACGCACACATACACACACACATACACACATGCACAACCCACACGGCATTTGGCACAACAACTGACTCTCCTTGCTACAGCTACAAAGGCATGGCCCAGTCGACGCCAGTGGCGACTACGCGCAACATCACGCCTCAGCCCACGGGATTCTCCCAGATCCACGCCCGTGGCGGTGGCGAGGGCGGCGGCCAGGCCATGAGTGTATTGCTCAGTTGGCACGAAAAGGTAGAAACTGTCGCGCCCTGACTATTGTTTGATGCCCATGCACTAACAGCCGGTAGCTTGTGGATATTGCTGGTCCTGGCTCGATTGTTAGGGTCATGGCTGATCGGCGTACGGTCTGAACTGGTGGTCCCACGATGGCACCTTATGATGCGCTCCAGCAAGACAAGCTTGAGCGGCTAAACTTGAGCCTAGTCGATGCAACAGCCCTCATTGACAGGGAGACGCTCTCGGCTCGGTCAAGAGCAAGATCAAAATGCGAACTGTTCGACATGGCATGACACGCCGTGCTCTCTCCAATGCCCTCCGCCCCGTCACCGTATGCACCCTGTATGAGCCTCAAGTGACAGTGCACAAAGTTGGAGTCAACATATTGAAATGATTGTAATAATAATAATTATCAGGCACCATTTTGTATTTTGGCAAGTCTGGTTGCTGGTGCGTGGCAAGCATGCAGGGCCCTGCACAAATGCGTGAAATATGCAGCCGCACTGACACGTCTCTTTTCTACCGGCCTCGCAGACGGCTTCTTCAGCCCTATTATGACACACGGCCACGTCGCTCCCCCAACGCGACCAGTCTTCATTTCGCGGACACGGGAAGTCACGATGTTAGCGTGCGCCTTCATCATAAGGGGCCGCACACTCGACCACGCGGCATAGCTTCCACGCGAAGCCCACTAGCGCCACGTCCGAGCGCCTTCTTCAGCTGCCACAAGCGGAAAAGACCTGATGAACGCTAGTCTTGCGTTGGGCGCCGTTGCGAGATGAAACACGCTCCCTGGTGCCCGTCGATTCCTTTCCTTTTCCCATCACCACCCACCCCGATATTGAAACAACGGACAGCCGACCGAGGTATAAAAAAAACACCCCCTGACCAAGACTGCTCTACTCACTCCAAAAGTAAACATGTTCGTCTCCTTGCTCCTTATCGATTAGCTAGGTGCGACTACATGACAAAAAACTAGTACGGAGCTTTTGCACCCGTCCGACGCAGCCTTTCATCGCCACGAGAGCCCATGCCCCGATGTAATTTTCCCGCCTGCAGGCCAATCGTGGTCACGGCTAAGTATCGATGCGCAAACAGGCTTCTGGAAGGCCAATTTCGGCTTCTTTTCTCGTTTCCACCATAGGGCTGTAAGCATGTTTTTAATAAAAGTGCCCACACACACACCCCTTCCCTCCTCTTTCCCAAGTGGATCACTCCAAGTTAAAGTTACGCTCCGTCGCATCTTATCTATTTCCATGAAGCAAACCACTCTACTGTAGACACGCACATACACACATATACGGGTTGAACAAACCAAGAAAAATTACCAAGGGACAATCGCATAAACAAAGAAAAAAAATAAAGCTTGAGCATGGGTGTATATGTGTGTATGTGTCAGTGTTGCCAAACGGCAAAACACCCTTTCTAGTCAATCAGTGTGTTAGACTGGAAACTTGTCACTTTCCCCCCAAACACGGGTTTTGCCCACGCTTGTCTCACACACACACACCCACGCACATGAGTCGGTTACATTTCCCCTCTTGTGCCCTTTTTTGCTTCCCCTTACCCCAATCCCATCTTGTTCTGCGACAAGTAACAGTTCCTCAAACCCCTGGCTTTGAGCGCATCTCCCTCGCCCTCCCCAGTGCATCATCGGCATGACGATCGGTCCATCCTTTCCCAGTGCGCGCGCGTGTGTCTCAGCTCACATGACTGGGTGGGCAAAGCAGGTTTGGATGGATGGGTGGTTGGAGTTTGGTCCTCTCTGCCCTTTTTTGCTTTACTACCCCCATTTCATCTACACAGTAGTATCAACCACCTACCCTATCTACACCTGCACACACACACTCTCTTTCTCTCTCTTTCCTCAAACACTCACACACACACGCATGCTCATCATCAGCCCATACTTGCATCCCATCGCATCTTTGTCTTTCCCAGAAGAAAACCCCCCAAAGAGGATACTTTTTCCCGAACCCCGGGTATCGAGACAAGAGAGCCCCCCCCCCCCCTTTCGCTTATCGGACGATGTGCTTGTTTGGGGAGGCGCGCGCATGTGTGTGTGTGGGCGTGTGGGTATGCATACATACATACATACATACATACATACGTAGTTTACTCTTACCGTTCCTTCTTTTCTTTGACTCCCGATTTCTAAATCTGGGTGTATATGCCGTGTACATATATGCAAGTAACTAAAGCAGGGAATTTCTCACGTGGCAAAAAAATAAAATCGNGGGGGGGGGGGGGTTCGCCCCAAGGGTACGGCATGGAGCGTATAGTATTAGGGTAGAGTAGTACGTAAACTGGTGCTTCATCAGTCTTTATTTTTGGTGTTCTTTCCGTTTTTTTTTGCTTTCCAAATCCTTGTTACGTGAGGTGTTTCCTTGTTGTTGGGTTTTCCGATGTCTTTTATCTTTCCTTTTTTGGAGGTGCTCCGATGGCTGCTTGCTTGCTTGCTTGCTTGCTGCGCCACCACCGCCTTCCGCTTCTCTCCCTCCCCCCTTTGTCTCAGGCTCCGTCTTGTATGTGTGTGGCGGGTAAGCGGGGCGGGGGGGGGGGGAACCAGGTTTGGTATGCGTAGACACATATCTACGGTAGTTCCCGGGTTTCTATTTTACTTTTGTCGTGTGAGGTGTGTGTGGGATTTTCTTTGGAAGGATTTATGTGTGGGGTGGATGTTGGGTGGGAAGAAGAAAAGTATTGGGGTTCAGTAATCATGTTTGCATGGAAATGTAGATCGATTGGGAATGCGGGTATGGCGTGATGTTCGCTTTACCCTGTTTTTCTGGTTCCTTTCTTCTTCTCTGCAGGCTTCCACGTGGTGGGTGCGTGTCGTTTTCTTTTGGAGGGGAAACGCAAGATCGGGGACCCTTACATACGCAGGTGTGCTTTCCCTGCCTACGCCGCCTGCGACTATTGCTGCAGAGAAGCAAGCATTTCCTCGCTACTGCCATGGTTCCTTCACCGTTTACGTGTGTGGCTGTGCTGGGCAGAAATGGCTGGATGGGAATTGCATACATGTGGAGTTGACCAGAGGAATTACGTCTTTACCACTGATCTATCTGTGAAGAAGCACTTCTTTGCAGTCCAGTAATCCACCACACCCTTTACATCTTATCTTCGTCAACCCATACTAGTCTGCTCAGCATCTGCGTTCCTTTTCAAATTCGACCCTCATGTAGACTTTTACCAGCATAGAGGAGCTTGGTGATCGATCAAATCACAGAGCAGGTGTGCTGATTAGAGAACAAGAAAAGCAAAGAAAAAGATGCAGTATGTAGGTAGCAGTCCATGGGTAGGCTACTCTTTGCTTATCGTTTCTGTCTCCCAACATCTGTACCGCTCCCCTGAGTCTCTATCACTCGACTTCGCAAATCCCTGATTCCAACCCCCCCGTTCCCCGCTAACGTACATGGACTCATTTTGAACTTCTTTCTCAGAGTGCCCAATCACTGGGAAGGATAGAGAACAATCTTAGGACAGAACTTGATCGTGTATCTTGACCATGAGCCCTGATCTCATCTCTTCGAATGTTGAATTAACACATTGTGACTCGAGTGAATGGCAATGACGAGCTTTGCAAAAGGGACTTAAGAATTTCTTCATTATAAACTACGATTGGGTATCAGGATGACTCTTAGCAACGCTCATTACTCGAATACTCGCTGTTCGAAACAAGATTACACCGCTGTTTGTTGGTGTCCAAGTCTTCTTTCTGCCCCTTCCAAGTTATCTCCACACTGCAACGGTACTGTTCGTGTACCGCAGTACTTTGAAGTAGATTAGGGACACCCCAGTACACGTTGATCGCCTCGTCTACACCGCACTATCTTGTGCCACATGAGCCTGCACTGGCCGTGCAACCTCTACATCTCCATCTCTTTCGTCAATCCCATCCTCCACTTTCTCATTTCTCGCATGCGTAGACATAGGCCCAAAAGCATCAATATGAGCCAGCGAGTGCCAGAGCAGGTACGTACTATGCATCGTCAGCCTCATCCCCTCACACCTTCACCAACCTCCCTCCTCGGAAGTGGAGTAAACTCACCTCCAAAACGTAAAGACCATCCCTACCCAAAGCAACACCACACTCGCCACCGCCCTGCCATTCTGCCGATAAAGCATCGGACTCCCGCCATACGCATCCAGCAACCTCCGTGCCTCCGCCGGACTCGCACCCGTAACATACGCGCTCTTCGCAGCCACAATGTACGTATACGCCAATGCACACGACAGCGTAAATGCGCAAGCTAGCACGGAGCAAACCCTCCACGCCATTTTCACTGCGGCAGACTCGTGCCGCTCAGGCCAAAACAGATCGAAGAAGAACGCCGCACCGAATATCGTAGCGACGAAGATCCCAACGAAGATGTTGTAGGAAGCTATTCCTACGAAATTGTTGTTGTGTACCGTTACATTCGAGTTGAGATGCGCGACGTATCGTTGCTGGGTAGTGTAATCTGTCTACTTGTTAGGCTCCAGAAAGCACATGTGTAGAGGGATTAAAAAAAAAGGGGAAAGAAAAAGTACCAGATAACGCCGCCGTCCCCAGCGACTCGCTCACAACCGTGAATATCATCGCGAGTTGATACACGATGAACCTGGTGCGCCGGCCGTGATACCGCGAATTCCACATATTGCCCGATTTGAATTTCGCCCATTGGATCTCGTGGAGGTCGAGGCCCCATATGACTGCCATATCTAGCCTTATCCAGACTGTGAATTACTCAGTAGATGGTATAGAAGTTCGACTTGGGGATTCTGAGTAAGGATTAAGGATAAAACTCGATATGACTCCCCTCTTTCCGCGATTGCAAAAAAATTGTGGGAGAAAAAAAAGAAATATAAACAGCGTACTACGTAGCTTATCCAGAAAGAGAAAGAGAGAGAAAAACTACAGCTACACCCCCAAACCCTCCTGCACTCCGTCATCGCCCCTGCAAAAATCCACCCATCGCACCCTCACCTTTCTTCATCCCCACCCACACCTTTCTCCCTTCCTACCGCACATCCCATGCCACGCCTTCTTCACAAAAGCTTATCACTTCCACACGCAGATGCACCCGCGGACGAAAGCATCCGCTTTCACACTACGTATGCGTACATCTACCCGGGGGTTCTCGGCGACTCGACAAGTAAGTGGGATTGATTGGAAGGAGGTGGTCCTCGGAAGGGGCAGGGGGGGAGGATGTTGACATCATAAGAGGGTGGGATTGGGGGACGGGAGCTAAATTAGTGGGGGGAGGCTTGATGGGTGGGGCGATGAAGTCATTGATGGGTGTGGGTGGGATGCGAGGGCAGGATGCGAGGTGGTAGGGTTAGCGTTTATATACGGGGTATGAGGGGAGTTGAAGTGGGAATGTAGATGTGCATATGAGGCGAGAGTTACTACCATAACGGTAGTATGTATGAGATATTGAACATCACGATATACTTCATCACTTACTGCTTAACGCCTCGTAACGAGACAACACATCAACCACGCCATAGCAGGACAACTTACCCCTCAGAACGCATGAGCGAATTAACTCATTATACATATCATACACATATTCTGTTTATACACGAGATTCTAACCTCTAATGCACCATAGTCTCAAGTGTCCCAACCGGCCGCTCAACAATATCCAAACACCCATCCACAATACTCTTCCTCGCATCCTCAGAGCTAACATTCTGACCCCCAAGATACAGCAGCCAAACCAGACGACCCACCCTCTCGTCCTCAACTTTGCCCAGCCACATGGGTGTACCCATCTTCTCCTTCTTCTCCACCTTCACAATAGGCTGATACAACGCACCAAGTGTCCCATTCTTCTTCCGTGTCAAGATGATAACGCTACCCTTTGGTGCCTTACCCTTGCCCTGGAATATATTCCTAAACTCCTTCATAGCAAGGCCAAACGCCTCGTCTTGGAACTCGCCTTCTTCAACGGGCTTAGGGAGAGCGATGGTCTTGTTCTCGGCAGCCTGCTGCCTGAGCAAATCAGCCTGCTTGCGACGCACCTCGTCGGTCCGCGATGCAATGCCGCGCATCCAGCCGTCTTGGAGATGCTTGAAATCTGTGCCTCGGCAGGGTACAACACGGAATGCCATGTCGACGCCGCTTGTGCCGCGGCTGTCAAGAATGGCTTCCCATATCTCATTGCTCTTTTCTGCGTCGAGAAGGGAGTCATGGAGAGCTTTCTTTTCGTCTGGGATCAGCGCTGAGGCGGTTGGGTTGACGGTATTGATGAGGTGGTTTTGGAGGGTGGATAGGTCAGCTGTCTTGACGTACAGTCCAACGACATAGACTTGGACGCGCAGGAATGAGACCTTTCTGATACCCAGACCCAGCAATGTATATTCGGCGTCACTCTCGACATGTTCGGGGCCCGCAGTATCGGTAGGCAGGCGGATTGTACGGGGAAAGTAAGGAACATAGGATGTGCCAGTTTCGACAAGCTCAATGGCGTCTGGATGTGTTGCTTGGGGGTTGTCTGCGTCGGCGGGTGCAGCAATGACTTTGTCACCCGCTGCTACGACAACTTTTTTGCCTTGAAACTCATCGGATGCCTTCCTAGGCGCATCGGTTTTGGTTGGGGGTCCCAGTATTAAATCTGCTGCGGATCGACTTGAGCTTCCGTCCTTGTCGCCATCAGCTGGTTGCACATCCCACAAGCGCACAAGGAAGATGGGAGCAATCATGGACAAAGCTGCACCGAGCGCCAGCCAATTACGCCTGCGCACATAAGCAGCCCGGCGAATGGCCTCTGCGCGGTGTATCGAGACAAAGTCCTCATCTACGCGGGGGCCTTTGGGAGGGGCATTCTGTTTGAGCACAGCTTCCAGGTCTGACCTGTGAGAGCGCGAGTTATACCGGGCCTGGGGGCGATATCGAAGTGGCGTCGGGGCATTGAGACAGCGGAAGACGGGACGTCTCGCAGCGGATCGGATGGCGCTCATGGTGGGTGTGTGAATAAGTGCATGAGTGCATAGAGCGACGGTCCATGCAGTGGCATGCACCGACGTATGCGCGCCAAGACTTGCAAACACGGCGGCGCGCTTGGGCCATGCATGGTTCGGCTCGATGATGCGCGCCTCGCCTCGTGCATTCAGCCCTACAGCCGGGGGGGCCTTGAGGGCCGACGCCAACGTCTGACCTCCCTTTAATACGCCGGCTACTCACGCACGTGTTCAACTGCATAAAATGGCTTCTCGGAGGGCCAGGCTAGAGGACGAGGAGGACATGATGGAGGTGTCAGAGGTTCCTGACGACCTTGACGGAGACAGCGGCGCAGGCATTGAAGGTGTGCAGCACCTGGCCAAAGGCCTAGTCCGATACGCCTTGTCGTGTGAGCATTCACGTCAGCCCATTAAGCGGCAAGACATTAACGAAAAAGGTCTGCACTTGCACTGTTTGATTGCTGTGGCTATCGTGTCTACTACTCATGCTAACAGGAGCAGTGCTTGGCTCCCAAACTCGGCTGTTCAAACAAGTCTTTGCGGAAGCCAACAGCCAGCTCATGGACGTGTTTGGAATGCAGCTAGTCGAACTGCCTAAGGCTGAACGAGTAACGCTGCGGCAGAAGCGCGGTATGCATTATAGCCATGCCTAGACATCGTCTATCTTTGTCTGACCCACCTCTACAGCAGCAGCAGCCGCATCTCTAGCATCAGATTCCCAGGCAAAGTCAACCAGCATATGGGTCTTGCAAAGTATCCTGCCCAGCCAGTACCGCATACCTGAGATTGTGGGTCCATCACGGCCACTTGAACAGGGTATGCCAAACAGGGAAGACGCCTACGTTGGCCTGTACACTCTAACCATTGCCCTCATTACCATCTCTGGTGGCATGATGCCGGAAGGAAAGCTCGACCGCGCTCTCAGGCGCATGAACGCAGAGCAAACCACGCCCGTGGGTAGTAAAGACAAAGCGATAGCTGCCATGGTGAAAGACGGGTACATTGTGCGAGTCAAAGAAACCTCTGGCGCGGGTGACGAGACAATCGACTACATTGTCGGTCCCCGAGGCAAGGTTGAGGTTGGTCGTGATGGTGTTGCTCAATTTATACGAGCGATGCATGGCCAGGCTGAGGACGAGACTGAGCTTGAGAGGCGGATTCAGAGGACTCTTAATGTGGCTGATGCACATAGCAATAGTGCACCTGCGGCGGAAGCAAGTTGAGTATGTTGTAGTCTCAGCCATGTGTCGCCACAGGTGAACGATGAAGGGTATCTACTTAGAGTAATGGGCGGCACAAATGTATACAAATATTTTGTATACCGCGCTCAGCGCTGTACACCTATCCGTTTTATTTTCTTGTATGTATTTATTAACGTGTAGGCTGAGAGACCAGTCATACTCTAACACGTAGTTTCGAAGAATTACTGAAATCCGGCTTTAGTATTCATGTTCATACATACACGGAAGTTTACTTCGCTTAGACGTAACATGCCGTATGTTGAAGATTCATAAAATGTACACATGCATATTCGTTAACGGCGGATTTACAACAGCCTTCTTCCAATTCTCATCCTTAATCATAACTTCGTCCCTTCGCTCTACTTGTTCACGCTCCATGCCCCATGTATGCATTGCGAGCCAAAAAACCCTCCATGTCGTACCCTATCACATAGACATAATCCAATGTTCAACATCCTACAAGCTCAGTCCATCCGCAAGAACAGCACCGTACCAGATCATGGCGCCAAGTCCAATCAGGTTGACAACGGTGCTGGCACCGTGCAGGATGGCAAACTGCTTGTTGAGTGCCTGCATCTCCTTGCTATGGGGCCCACTATCATAGCTCTTCTTGCCATCTCGCGTCTCCTGGTGCTTCCTGATGCCCATGACCTCAGTCGTCTTGGGTCCAAGGAACACCAAGTTGGCCAGCGCAGTGACAAACATGGTCGCGTGCAGCCAGGCAGCGAGCTTGTTGGTGGATGCGGCGGGAGTGGCGGGCGCGAAGAAGGAAAAGGACGGAGGGGGATTGGCGGCTGAGGCAGGCTGGAGGAACGAGGGGAGAAGAGAAGTAACGCCGCCGCGGGGGTAGGTCAACAGCATTGCGACGGGGAGCGCAGTCTGCAGGGAAAAGTAGATGGGAAAGGTGTTTTTTTGCAGCTGGGAGAAATGGTGGCGGGGCAGGACTCTGAAGGCGACGATGCCAGACACGAAGGATTGGAAGAGCGTGGAGCCGAGAAGAGTGCCATAGCTGCGTGTTACGTTAACATGAATGCGACGAGGTGGTGGTGGCGGGGTTGCGGTGAAGGTACCTCAGTAAATGGTATGTCGGCGGGTTCTTGAACGACGATAGCGACATGGTGGCGGTGTTGCGCAGTCCCCGTCGTGGTGTGGATGTGATGGTAGTGTAGGCGTCGAGCCAATGTGTTGTGGTGTATGAAAGAACAGTCAAAGACGCCCACCTGAGGCTCAAACAGCGGTCTCTGCGTCCTCGGCAATTGATGATCTCACGATTGGTTTGGACGCGTCCATATCATCCCTGCAAAGCGGGGCCCCTGCATGTCCGTCTGCCCCGCCACCAGATTCCCTCGTGTATGTGTATGTTGTGCCGCCACACACGCGCATCATGCAGCCGCATATACACAAACCGGCTCAACATCAATTGGTCTTCGAGACTGCCGTTCCGCATTCTTCGTAATGCCCGTGCGCCTACCCTCACGCGTCAATCTCCGCCGGCCTGCCGACGCGACCACTACGTGTTGAATGCCGGCATCACGATGGTGGAGTTGGTCACTGGACAGCCTATAGATGGAGAAGAGTAATCTGCCAATAAGACTGGAAACGATGAATTCACGCGCTGCAAGAACGGCCAATAGTGGACTGGTGAGGAAGAGGAGAAAAGATGGAGTGTCAAAGGCGAGTCTGTATTAAAGTTGAGTGCATGTGGGTTGGATTGAAATGACATCACTGTGAGTAGAGGGCTGATGGTACGTCGGCCGATCAGGCGTAGGATTGAGTGGGATTTGAGCGCATTGGTGGGTACCAAAGAGATTTGTGGCTATCCATCTGGTTGCGCTCGTGCCTGGACTGACAGTCTGCTAGGTCGCCATCACCGATTACCCGGGACCTCCAATCCTCGATACCCTCAAGGCGAATGTTGCAAATAACATACCGGTTACTCTACCATCTCGAGTAACTGTCCAAGGCCTTGATGGAGGTCCACTTCCACAACCTTTGAATTGTCGGAACCCCATATCTACACGCACATACCTACAGCAGACTGCTTCGAGATGCCTGGAGAGCATGAGAATCTCGCAGAGTCGATGCTACACTTCCTCTCAGATATGCCCACGCACGTGTATATTGTATCGCAGGTTTCCATACAGGCCGTGCCAAGGTTGAACCTTTCTTTGGGGAGGTTGTACTAGGTCAATGCCTCGAGATCGAGGAGATGTACAAAATGGGCGTGGACGGACAGCAGCGGCCGTGGGAAAAGGAGCGCGACGGCAGCCTGGAAAGTATGGGCGGGCGGGAAAAGTGGCTCATCGTTGCGCGATTATGGTGGTCCATTCGATCGTAGCAGAGAGCATCGCTCACACCCTCTTGAAGCAGAGCGTAACCACACTGCTCCCCGTCTTTCCCCCAAACGTGAAACTTGGATATTTGACCTTGCCATCGAACTGCAATCCTCCGCCTCCAAACCACTCTTTCAGTTCCTCCTCTGTCCAATTGCAGCTCGTAATGAGAAACCTCCCCCCTTTCTTCATCAATGGCTCAACCTTTTCCCTGTATCCCTCACATATCCTGCGCCCCTGCGCATCCTGCTCTTGCGACAGGCAAATCGCATCAAACGTGCCCTTATCCAGCACAACATCGAAGCCCTCGCCCAACCACGCGCCGGGCGCCTGTGACAAGATATCCCACTCATAAAACGCAATGTCCGCATACGTCTCGTCTTTCGCATCGCGAATCGATGTCGCTAGCGTAACGCTTTCTATCGAGTAATCCACACCAACCATTTCTCCGCTCCACTCATCCTCGCGCAGCGCAAACAGCAAGTGTCCGTTTCCTGTGCCTAGATCTAGAAATCGCGCGCCCTTGTTTTCGTCGTTGTCTTCTTTGTGTATTTGGCCTTCATCACTGAGGTCTTCGAGGAAAGATAGCATGCGCTCTTCGGCACCGGCGTCACTGAACCATATTGTGCCTTCGTCTGAGGTGTTTGCGGCAAAGTTTTTGCGCTCCGTGGTGTAGGCTGCGTCCCAGTAGGATTTTGTGCCTAATTCGGAGGGATCGAGATGCGTAGGGGCTGTCATTTTTGGTGTTCTGGATTGTTTTTTTTTGAGGGGTGGGGGCGAGGAACGTGAAAACAAAGATTATGGCTGTTGAACGTGGGATGTGCTGCGAGGAAGGGAAACTTTTGGAGGGGCAATTGGTGGTTCCTGATACCCCGCGGTGTCGGCTAGTATACTCTTCCAGGAACCAGGCAGACTAGACGTACGATTGCCTGGGCCTCGTAACCCTTCAGCTCCGCATGCTCTGACATAGTGTTCCTTCATGTTCATCGATTCAATAGGGCGAAACTGGTCTCCAAAATTACATGTCGATATATTTGACCACTCACAGTCAACAGCTTGTCGACACACGGACAACTCTGATTCAATCATAATATGAAAAGATGATCTCTACAGAGATGAACAAGTATCAATCAACATGTTGCAGATATTACGGAATATCAGGAAACTGACCTGATGCGTACTACAGCTTCGAACCATCATACTCAAAGCACCAGCCCTAAGTTCCATTCGCCTAGCCTCACAACCCTCACCACAACGGATCATTCCGACCCCAATACAACAAACTCCCACCAATTGCCAAACTATTGAAAATCCCCACATAATGCCCTAGAACCTTATCCCTAACACCATACCCCTGCACAATCACCGTATCCGCAACCGTCGCCACCAACCCCGCCAAAACCGCAACGCCCAAGCTCCTCCGATCGCGTAGTACAAGCCCAAACACCGCTAGTAGCACTCCATTTTGCACATTGCGCGCTGCGATTGCTGCTACGAGGGCTTTCTTCGTGTCTTCGTCTTGTTTGCTTTGTAATGATGTGGATGTAGATGTGGAAGTGCGCTTTGTGGATTTGGAAGAGGTAACGGGTGGTGGTAGGTTTGTGTTGGTGATGGGAAGGCCGTAGCCGTCGGCGAAGGAGGTGGGATTGCGTAGGCCGAGGAGGCCGAAGGGGAGAATCTCGAGGGTTGCGATGAAGAGGGCGAGGCATTCGGCGGGGGGTGGGAGGTGGGAGAAGAGGTTGCGCGGTTGGAGTGACATTGTGGGTTTTGCGGTTGTGTTGATATGGAAATGAGTATATGCGAAGGAATCAAAGAGATACTTTCTCTTTCGTTGCGCGCAAGGCTGTGTGGTTTGAATCGTGAGTATACACATTTATGTAGAGTTCATCGAGTGTTTATTGGCTAGTGCGGCTCGGAGTTCGGATGCGGGGACGAGGATTGGTTTGTTTATTTGCGTCATGTTTGAACTTGTTCCATTAATGCAAGTAAGATTGTGTTGACCTGCTGTCTGTTTGTTTGCTTTTCGTGTTTAACCTCGAGTTGGAACTCAAGCTAACTTCAAGAGAGTACTCCAACTATGTTGTTCGTAGTTCACAAGAAGCAAAACTCCACTCATGCTACAACATGTACACATTACTCGATATGTTATATCGATTCCAGGATTCTTAATATAATGTTGTTTTTTTCGATCTATTTCTCATGATTGCGAATTGGAGCATACGAAGCCGACCCCTTTCAGTAGTATAGCCTCCCAAAAGAGTCGGAGCACCACGGTCAGATTGGAATTAGGGAAATGGACCACCCTTGCAAAAGCAGGATGACTTGCTAACTCTCGGCCACATACTTCAAATTCAAAGTATGGATCAAAGTGTCAATAGGAGTCGAGCAGTGGACATGTCATCACGTGCGTCAGTTAGTCAGTTTCTGTCAGTCACTCCTTCACAGTAGCACGATTCTAATTTGAGCGTGATCACAGCTGTTTGTTAAATTCTCTAGTGCGCATGCATATTCAAGTGAATAGACATGAAGATCGTGAATCTTGGCGCTTTCACACCTAGACCGTAATCTCCCTGTAAGGAAGGCCCGTCGTATGACGCGCTTTCCTACCTTCACTTGATTCACAGCACGACGGAGGCTGCGCTTGTGCTTTCACTTAGTTGAAAATTTGCGCATTCATAGTCGGGTCACAATCGCTTTCTACTCAATATCTATTCAATGCTTGTTCTCCGTCTTTTCTACCCACCAGCCACTTTCTCTACTCGACTCACTTCTGCTACTCGCTGCTTAGGTACTTTCCTCGCAAAGTCGTCACTTCCTCCCGAACAACACACTTTCCGATATCCCAACAACACACGCACATCGCAATTCTCTCAATATGCCCAACGGAAATGCTTTCTGGGCTGCTGGCAAGCACATCGTTACCTCCACGAACCCTCCCACCCCCACATCTGGCGAAACACCAAACAAGTTTCTGAGCAATGGAAACGGTGTTGACTGTGTCACTCCCGGTGCCAAGAAGGTGTCTTGGGCAGATGAGGAGGAGGATGAGAAGTTCCTCGCCCTTTTGGCATCCCGACCAGAAAACCCGGCCGTTGCTTCGTTACAGACCACAATTACTGACAAGGATGAGCTTCTCAAGGGATTGGAAGCGACTGTTGTTACTAAGGATCTTCGTATTGGCGAGCTGGAGGCTGCTGCACAAGAGAGTCACGAACACATGGAATATCTTGAAGAGAGCCTGCAAGTGAAAGAAAACACGGTCAAGACGTTGGAGAGGGAAAACCACGTGCAATTCGTCAAGATACAGGAATTGTACCGTGAGACTACTGAGAAGGAGGAGCGCATCCACTGCCTGGAACGCGAACTGGAGCGGCTCGCTGTTGCCCAAGAGCCCAAGCAAATACCTGTCTCAGATACCCAGCTATCAACCAGGAATGATGGTGCAAACAGCAATGAGATGGTCAAGCCCGAGGCCGAGACTTTCACGTCAACTGTTGCTCCAGAGAAGTCCAAGAGTGTTGAGACGCCAGAGTCCAAAGAGGCTATCTCTAACTCTACCGAGCTTGCTTCCGCTAAGAAGACCAAAGACGACCTGACTGAGAAGTCTGCAAATGGTCCAGCTTCCCAAGACATCGACTCTCCGACATTCGTGACAAAAGAGACTTTGAAGGTCGTCCCTCCTGCTCCCAAGCCAAGGGTACTGACATTCCCCATCGACATGTCCAAGTATGGGAAGAAGCCTGCTCCTGATGTCGCTACCAAAGATCAAGGACCATCTCCAGGGTCCATGGGAGGTAAGAAAGGTCGCACTGAGTCGTGGAATCGGTCACCGAAACAGGCGCGCGTCAAGACGGACGCAAAACCCTTTTTCAATCCTTCAGCCGACATTCGACAAATGCCGTCTACTCAGCGTGTTCTCTACGGAAATGGTCCAGACGTTTCCTTCAAGCTCGGTGACGTCGAGCTCAAGACCCTCCCTCAGTACGTCCTGATGCAATGCTCTGGGAAAGCATTCCAACACTTCAAGACCAACCCAACTGCAACTTCGTGGTCTTTCCCAGCGGGTTCAATGGACGCAGACGCTACAAAGTCTCTCCTTAACTGGATGGACGAAATGACATACCAGGGTCGTGTCTACTCTGTCTCACTGAACTCGGCACCAGCGAACGACCATAGGAACATCCAGATCTGCCGTGCTGCGCGTGTCATGGGCCTGAACAACGCCTATGTTGGACACTTCACCAAGCGTCTCTGCGAACGTGTTCGTAGCAAGGATGTCTCCCTAGAGTTTATGGATCTGCTGTGCAAGTTCGCCTATCCAGAGAACGATCCAGTGTTCGACTGCCTGGCCAACAGGCTGGCCATGCAAAAGGCAGCCGGTAGTATGCAGGGCAAGGCGATGTTGGAGAAGTTGGCTACCGCCTACCCTGTTCTGAGGGTCAAGGTAGAGAAGATCGAGCGGAGGATGGGTGCTACTTGGGCACGTAAGTAGGGTGGTATCAGCCTGGCATGGTACGATTTTTGAGAGGGATGATTTCGTCGGTGTTTCTTTTGCCTTTCCTTTGTTCAATTGATTGACTTGTAGGCTGAGATACATATATACAGCTTACAATGTGGATATATAGAGCGATGTTTAAGTGCTCACTTGAAAATGCGAGGGGTAGATAGGACATATACCTTTCCACCATTCCAAACAATGACAACTGGTCTCATAAATTGCTACTTCACCAAACGTGCAAACTTAAACAAATCAAAAATGTCTTCACCACCAAACAGTGCAAACCAGCCTTTCCTTTGGAGGAAAAATTCTTTTCATTATGCATCATGTTTGACTTTTTTGAGCAATCATCATATCTAACATCTACATTCTACCCCTTTGCGACTAACGCAAAGATACTTGACACCCTTGTACGGCGTAACACCACTGCCCAAGCCCTTACTCTTCCTTTGATCAACATTCAAACTCTCGACCTTGATACCACTCGGCAGCCACCCCTTGACGGAGAAGCTAACCGTAGCACAACTCGGCATAAGGACTTTATTCGCCTGCTTGATCTTTGCGTCGGAGTCTGGTTTACCAGAGAGCCCAGACGGCGCAGGGAGACCGGCGGTTGCAGAGGAAGAAGTATTATGCGCATCGTCATCGTAGTCATATGTTGACGTGGAGAACGAGACAGGGCCGCCTGCATCGATGCCGTCTTCAGCAGAGGGATCGTCTTGTCCGATGACGGTGCCGCGGAGCGTGGCTATGACGCCCATGCCCGCGCCGCGGTCTTGCGACATGAGGGTTGTTACCTCGCGGCTGCTGACGCGCCATTCGATTGCTCGGTCGCCAGGCGCGTAGCCGGCATCGCCCATGCCACGCGCCACGCGGATATCGACCACGTTCTTGACTGTTGCAGGTAAGGGGATGTGAATGGCCATTTCCTCGATGGCGGGCGCCGACGTGGTGCCAGTTGAGGCCGAGGCACGCGCTAGACTGGCTTTTGCGGCGCTGGATTGCGACGAGGACTTACCGGCGAAGCGAGGGTTGATCTGGAGTTTTACTTCAAAATCTGATCCGGTTGGGCCGAGAGAGGGGTGGACTGAGACGGTGGCTGGGATGCTGAGCTTGGGCATGGCGTTCCTGGCCGACTTTTCTGTTGAGAAGGCGTCTAGAGCGGATGAGCCAAGTAGGTCGACTTCATATCCTGCTAGCACAAAACGGCCGTCTGGTGGGACGAAAGATAGTTCTCCAGGTCGAGCCTTCCACTGGTTGAGCCTTACACACGGGTGGAAGACAGGGAGAGAGACGGTGTTTTGGATACCACCGGCACAGCCCAACTGAAGTATAAGATCTGGGATGCCTGAGACTTTTGCTGTGAATGCAATGGTGCCGTTTGCCATTGCAGCCAAGGGTCGACCAGAGGGCGATAGTGTGACTTCGAGTGTCTCGACGATATCGACGTACATTTCGTTGCTCGTGTGCCTGACATTTGCTCTTCGCCATGGGACTGGTGACGCTGTCTGGTTGGAGGATAGCGAGGGGCCTAGCCTTGGGCTTGGTCTTCCACCACCGAGACCAAATGTGCTTGTGGACGAGGGTGTCAGCGAGCTGGGGGTTGAAGAAGGCAATCCAACGCCGCCCAACAGGCTCTTGAGCAGGTTGGGGGCCTCGACAACATCTCTCAGCGCATTGGGCTCGGTGTTTGCAATGATGCCGCCGTCGACCATTTCACTGAGCAGCTGTGCGACGACATCGTAGTTTGCCTCGATCTTGGAGGCGAGCAAGGGCGAGCCGAGGAAGTCTTCGAGGACATCGGTGAGGCGGTGGAGGAAGGTGAGGATGGCGAGGGGATCGGTGTCGGCAGAAGAGGGGCAGAGGAACAGCAGCTGGTCCTGGACGATGGAGTAGAGCAGAGTGGGCGGGTTGGTGTTGGGCAGGTAGATCAAGGGCGGACGTGGGGCGGGATGGGCGAGATAGAGGGGGAGGAGGGAGCTGGCGGGCGGCGGGCGGTTGGCGTAGACGTGCTCCAGAAGCGGCGTGCTGGAGGTGAGTTAGCCGCGTGGTACCAACGAGGGCTGGCAAGAGGGACGGGCTACTTGTGCTCGTCAAAGAGGTAGAGAGCCTCAATCGCGCTCATGGTGGACGAGTGACGGCGTGAGGCTGCGCACGCGCGCGACGACGTGAGAGTGTGGGGAACTTGAGCAGCCTAGGGCGAGGCCTGCACTGTACTGCACATACAACATACGCATACACATGTACTTACTGCACACATACCCACATTGACCTCTCTGCCTGCAACCATGTCGCAACAAGATGCAGATACGCCCACGTTCCGACAAGCCTTGAAGCAGGACCGCGCCCAGTTTGAAGACTGCACGCCCTGCCGCGTCGTTGGTATGTTCGCTCTCAGGCCTGCGCTGATCGAGTCCATGTGCTGATGCAGACCTGCAGGCAGCGCAACATTTCTGGGCCTGGGTGCCTTTACCTATGTCTCTGGCCACTCTCAAATCCGCGCCAACCAAGCTGCAATTCGGGCCAGCAACAGCATTTTTGGGGTGCGCAGTAGACACATGGCCATCACTGGCACCAGCGCCGTCATGGTCGGCCTGGGCATCTATCGCTGGTTTTCCTAGAACGCACGTGACCCGCTCATTCATCCCGTCGGCCTTGCAACCACCACCACCATCACCTTCGCCTTCACCTTCACCAATACGCCTTCAACATCGCATCACATTTCAAAAGTACAGCAATGCCAGATGCCCCATTGGGAGCTTAAGTTATCACATTAAGACCCAAATCCATTCTCATTCCACTAAACTCCGCCAATCGATTACATGAAATCACCGCCGTTCAAACAAGAAATGGAAAAAAAGGTATATGCCCTGAAAAGTAATAAACACCAGAGAATGCGTCTATTAAAGCCTGCTCCACCCAATGCATACAATCGTCAACAAGCCCACTGCGCCGTCGGGGGGGGGGTATGATGCAATTACTCATGATTCGTGATTCGTCCACCGGCTTGCTCTCCCTGTCGCAAATCCTCCTTGGACGCCATATCTTCCGACTGCCCTGGTCAGCTGTCTCAGGACATGCGCCCCCGCTTAGGTCCCCCGGAAGAGCCGTCCCGCCGGTCGTTGAATCCGTCCACGTTGAAAAAGTCGTTCATGAGCCGTCGCTTCTGCCCTGCGCCAGTGCCGAGTTGAAACAGATTTTGAGCCGCCGATCGCTGCAGGTTCCGTCCAGTCGAGCGGTTTGAGGATCGTCGGGGATTAGGGAATGCGCGGCGAGCAGCGGCTGATACATCAGTGGCGTTGTTGTCGTTTGTTGCCTCGGTCGGGAAGGCCTGGGGCGTGGAAAACTGGAAAACGTGGTGCAAGGGCGACAAGTCGGCCTCGGTTGTCGTGGCTTCCATCTGGACAGGCGGCGCAGAGTCGCAGCGGCCTGCTGTCTCCATGACAGGGTCGAGAGTGTGTGCATCATCCAGGCTGATGTTTCGCTCCATAATGGGTGACGAGCTGCGGGCGCGCTTATCGTCGAGGTATTCTTCTTCGCTCTCGCTACCCGACTGCTTGGGCAGAGATCCATCCAAGCGCTCCGTCGCCCACTGCCGTATTCTGTTGCCCTCTCCACCAGCTGCCCCAATGTTCTCCTTGTCCAGATAGGCCAGGAGGTCATCGAGAGCTTCTTGGTAGCCGTCTGCGCGGGCCCTGTCAAGGTCGGCTAGGGCGGACTTGTACAGATTGGTCACGTTCAAGGCTGCGGTACGGAACGACTGGTGCACGTCGGGCTGCCGCCTCGTCTTGGGCAGCGACGTGTTGAGGCTTCGCATCGAGTCCATGGCTGTGGGTGAAGGTTGATGGTGGTGCTGCCGTCGTCGATGCTGTGTAAGGCTTTGACGTGCTGAGGTGAGCTGCAAAAGCCCTGTGCACCCGCTCCCAGCGTCTCGGTTGCTGTCGTGGTTGAGTAAGCTTGGGCGTGTGTGGGTGGGTGTGGGTGTGCAAAAAAGAAACAAGTGACGGTCCAGGTAAAAGACTGGGAAGATATCGTACACTCACAAGGAGCGTCGTTGGGGTTAAGGACGTGGTCGCTCGCTGGCTGCCGTCTCTCCCGCGGGGTTCACGCAGTCATGATTCTTTGGGCAAAGCCTGCTGGCCTGTGCGCCAATCACCCCCTTCCCTTTACAACATCGCCTCCTTCCTCCCACCCCAATCAAAGCCTGGCAGCTTTGGTGAATTGCACATCAACTTACCTTTTGCTGTGAAATCGCATGTCCTCTTCACTTTCATTTCCACTTTCCACCATGAAGTCGCCGTTGGAGAGCCTACCTGTTGAGCTGTTTGATATGATTGCTGCCGATTTCAGTCTACCAGAATACCAAAGTCTTCGTCTAGTTTCACAGCAGCTTTACCGGTTTGTCCATGCAAGGTTTGCGCGTCTCGCCTTTTCCGAGCGAGTTACCACTCTCAGCCTATCGTCGCTTGATCGCCTCGGCAAGGTGTCAAGCCACCAAGGTCTTCGGGATGCCGTCAAAACTCTCCACATTCGGCTCCTGAATGAAGAGGAATACGCAAATCTGAATGCAATTGGCCGTGTGGGTCGATTTCCTCCCCCGAAGCGATTTCCTAGAGTGTTGGGTGTAAGAAACAAGAATGTCAATGACGAGGCGGCCACATATCCCTACGTACTGCACAACGAACGCCCCTCGCGTCTGTACGATGGACTTCTGAAAGTTCTTAAAGGTCTGCCTCAGTTGAAAGCCATTAAACTTAGCATGAAGCCGTCCGCATCGTATGTATGGGAACGCAACGAAACACCTCACAGTTTATTTCGAAGCAAGTGTTTTGAAGTCGTCATCTACGCTATTACCCACAGCAAGATCAAACTGGAAGAGTTCAGCATGGCCAGAAGAAAAGGCCGCCAGATTTTATACAAACCTGTCGATCTGTCGTTTCTGGCTTTCCAACTGGACCCACCCTCTCTACAGGCGCTGCAGCATTGCTTCTCCAATCTCCAGTCGCTCACGTTATCGATCATGACAGGCTACGATGCCCCGCGCCCACATGGGTGGGTCAGTAGTATTTGTGGTTTCATTGCTGCTGCGCCCAACCTCAAGAAGCTGACTCTGGGTCTGGATCGTGTCAGCGCAAAGTGCCCATCGTCTTCGTTTGGCGACATCGTGGTCAAATCTCTAGCCACTTCCTGTCGATTACCATATCTTGAAACTCTCGAGGTCATAAACTGTGAATCAGATGGGAAAGACTTGGCCGACCTGATCCGAACATATTCTTCATCGCTTCAATGCATTGTCCTTTCCCATATCCAGCTTTCAACCGATAAGTGGTGTCCAATCGAGGACGCTCTAAAGGTATGCCAGGAAATAAGGTATTTCCGGCTGATTGCATGCGAGGACCTTTGGACTAGACTGTCAATCAAGGCACGAATTAACGGTCGTCCGGACTTCGCCTGGGAAGTATATGAAGACCACCAAAACGCATCTGATTGGCTCCGCGGAGTCACAGGATCGGAACGAAGTTGAAGTTATCCAAGCAAATCACTCGGCTACAATGGCATCCATCATTCTGGGACAACCGCCCGTAGTTCCGTGGCTGAATAGACACGGCAGACTTGCTCCTGTCGTCGTCAGCCATAGTCATATTTGCACTCGGATAACTGTGCGGAAGCACCGATCGCATATGCGCAACAATAGCTTGAGCACTACTGGGCCATTGATCTTACCCCAGTTAGCGAAAAGGTATTTGGAAGTCTGTCTAATAGGGATGTGGATAGGTGATACGACGCAAGAGAATGATCTCGTTTTGGCAATGTGCCGTTCGTGGAAGAGTAAGGTTTATGCAAGAGAGAAAAGACGCGTGACTTGTCTACCTAGAGCCGCATTGTTCTGAATCATGCGCCAATGTGCCATATCCAGTCAAATTCCCTCTTTCCCGGCTCCCCCCGGCTGTCCGGCTCACCTTTCAAGCGTCGAGACGACGATCAACTTGCCATTGGTGGCCACTGCATTGCCGCACCCTGCTGTGATCAATAGCACACGCATTAACGAAACCTGGCCTACACCTCAACAAAAATCCCGAAATACTCCAGGCAGTGAGCAAAAACCTCCTGTGCAGTGTGACTACCTCAAGACTCTTGTGATAGTCAACCAAGCCATCAACTGTGATCCGCTTCTTCCGGCGGTCTGACATCTCCCCCAGCGGCTTTTAGTGTACCCAATTCAACTGAAGGTGTGTCAGCGTCACATTCAATACTCTTTCCGAGCTTGATCCCCACAATGTTAGTTATATTTATGGTTGAAGCTTAATTCGACATCGATCTGCAATCTCGCTTGTGCATCGCCCAATCATGCTGCTCGGATGTCCGATCATTCGCATCGGAGAATAGGTAGACGTAGAGCATGGGGGCCTGTTATGCAGGCATCTCAAGAGGTTTCTTGCTTGGCGAGTGAGACTACCAAGAACGCCAAGCAATGCCATGGTCGCGAGAACGACCATTGCAATTCCTTCTAGAGAAAACAAGTCGGCACTCAGCATGGCCGGACCTAAGTGATACCAATTGTTAACACAATCGCCTTTTGCAGGGTAGGAAACTGCCCCATTCTGTCACGTCAAAACGCTAATTTCCCAGCTGGCGGATGTATGCACATGCACAAGCAGTAAGCCGCTATCGAAATAACAAAGTTCGACAGGCTCTCTACGGTGACATCCTAGAATAGGACCATTCTACTATGCCACTTCTTGATAGTCCTAAGGCTCGAAGCTGGGCTATTGCCAGCCCGATGTGCCGTATCTCACATCGTGCATTCTGGATCAAGTGCAGGTCAGCGCCAGCTCTATGAAGGAGCCGGTCGGTCCCACTCTCCTCGCTGGTAGTCGCTTGAATGTTGCAGTATCAGCAAACATCTACCAATGAGCCTTGGTTGTTCGCCAATGCTATAGCCACGCGTCGCCAAGGAGGGTGCCTATGAACTTAGTAAACGACATAGTCAAAAGGGACTGAAGACATGAATTCTATGTCGAGGTAAGTATAGCTTGTGAATAGCATGAAAATATAGCTAGGATGAAGAGAAATTGATTCCCCACCAGGAAGGTTGGGTTGAGAACCATTGTGGTCTGTTCGTCTTACCATTTCATGCTTCTTGTCAGCATCCCTTGCAATGCGTAGAGACATCCCACATTAAGATGACTAAGAGCGAACCTTGTAGATCGGAGGAGCGCGGGCATTATCAATACTCACGATGGTTTCAATCGCAAGCAAAAATATAAATATCGAGTTTTTGACTTCGTTTTTTTATTAGCATCACGCAGTTTGGCTCCATTCCACTGCGGTCAAGATATGTTATAACATCAGGATTCCCTAACATAATACTTGCTACTCTTCTCCATTTTACTCAATCTAATATCCTTCTACCTTCCTCCTCTTCACCACTATGCGCTCTATATCCCTCGCCCTCGCCGTCCTCGCGGCAACAACAACAACCCCCATCTCAGCCCTGAACCTTCTCCCACGCCAGAACTCCTGCCCCTCCGTCTGGACCGACGTGGCCGCCTCTTTCGAAAAACAACTCACGACCTGCGGCAAATTCGCCCACACCCTCATCCGCCTTGCCTTCCATGATTGCAACTCTGGCTGCGACGGCAGCATAATCCTGACCGATGAATGCTCCTCCACCCAAAACCGTGGCTTAAATGACACGTGCAACACCCTCCGCAGCATGCGCACCCAATTCAACGTCGGCGCAGCAGACATCATCCAATTCGGCGCCGCCATCGCCATCACCGCCTGCCCCTTAGGTCCACGGGTACAAGCTTTCGTGGGCCGCGCCGACAAAGCGCAAGCCGCGCCCGTTGGCTCGCTACCTGAAAGCAGTGACTCCCCCGAAAAGCTAATCGCGGATTTCCATGCCTTGGGGATTTCGGCTAAGGAAATGATTGCATTGTTGGGCACGCATAGTGTGGCGATTCAGCTGTTTGACGATCCGAAGCAAGCCGGCAAAGGGCTGGATAGTACGCCGTCGAGGTATGATACGTTGTATTATAACCAGACCAAGTTTCGGACGGCGCCGTATACGCTGCAGAGTGATTTTCAGTTGGCGCATCATAGTGAGGTATGTTCCCCAACCCCCATCCCCCGCCCCTTTCACACTCCTCTCCATCTTTTTTTATTTACTATTTCTGCGGTTTCGATATTACGATTGTTATTGAGGAAAAGAGGACTGACGAAAAAATGGTGTAGACGGCAGGTATTTGGGACTCATTCATCGATTCTACGGATGAATGGACAAAGGTTTTCGTTCCGGCGTGGTTCAAGATGTCGACGGTAGGGGTGGACACGAGTAATTTGCAGGATTGCTCGGACCTTGTTCCGGCTAGTAAGACGGCACGTCGTAGGAGCGCGGATGGGGTGGCGAGGAAGTTTGAGGGGTGAGTTTGGGTGCGATGGTGGTGAGGTTGGGAGGGGTTAATGATTAGCTTACTGTTTCTTCTAATCGCAATGTTGATCACTCTAACACTGTGTGCATATCTCATTTGTGCACATATGCTTAAATCTTCCACTTGCATGTCTTTTGCTAGACCGAATCGGTACGACAAAAGGGTTTTTTTTGGAACATCGGTCCAAGTCGGGAATAGCATCAGTACAAACAGCGTTACATTGTGCCAGAAAGTGCAGGGTACTTGATAGGTCTAGCGTCGTCGATCTGGTTGTTTCTAACAACTTAAAAGTGCGTATTATAGGTATTTGCTAAACGACCGCACCGATATGATAGGACCACTTCTCCTCCGGTCAATTCAATTCACCGAGCTTGGCACAACCCCTTTGTCACTCGACACCAAGCATGACTTCACTGACACAACAACACAAACACATGTACACCAGAATCTCAAAGTATATATGCAAAAGAATTCGTCATTCAAGATAAAAACATCGCTACAAGAATCGAAAAATCACCATCTAGGCTAAAAAGGTGTTATATATATACAAAAGATGTTTTATCCCTCCATACATGGGATATATGGCTTAGAGAAGAGCCTCAATCATACGACGGATCTTGGCCGCCTTCTCGGCACCGGCCTCCTCCTCAAGGAAGGCAATGAAGGTCTCGAGGGTGTACTTCTTCTCGCCAGCGCCGGCGGCGGGAGCTGCGGAAGGAGCGGCTTCGGGGTTGACGTTGGTAGGCTCGGGCTTTGGGGCTGGGGTGTTGTTGGAGGGGCCGTTGTTAGATGGGGCGCCGTTTGAGGGAGCACCGGTGGAGGGAGCATTGTCAGAGGGGGCGCCGGTAGAGGGAGTGTTGTCAGAGGGAGTGTTGTCGGAGGGAGCATCATAGTCGGGAGCACCGGATTCAGGAGAGCCCTCAGTGGGAGCACCGGTTGAAGGAGCGCCAGTGGAGGGAGCATTGTTGGAGGGAGCTCCAGTGGAAGGAGCGTTGTTGTATGGGGGAGGCTGAGAACCGTTGCTGGATGAAGACTTGATGCACTGGAAGTAGTAGGGGTTCCACTGCTTGCACTCAAGACCCTCGGCACATTGAGTAGCACCCCTGTAGTTCATGCCACCACACTGGTAGTATTCCTTAACAGAACCGCTAGCATCACCGCTAGCATCGCCGGTAGGGGATGGACGGACAGCGGTCGCCAAGGTGGTAGAGGCAACAGCGGTGGAAGAGGTAACGACAGGGAGGGCAGAAGAAGTGCTGTTCCTGATAGGGAAGGGGGCAACAGGAGTGGAGGCAGCAGGGGCGGGGGTCTCAGCAGGGACGACAGACGGCTCAGCATCCTCAGTGGGGCTGCTAGGAGTGGCAGCAGGAGCGGAAGAGGCGGCAGGGGTAGAAGCGGCGGCAGACGAAGCAGAAGCGACAGGAGTCTCATCAGCAGGAGAATCAGCCTCAGGAGCAGGAGCGCCAGAGAGGGTGCCAAAGGTCAGGAGCGAGGGCGTGGCCTTGGTGCCGCCAGCAATCAGCTTAGGACCAGGGGCAGGGTAAGAGTCGAGGTTGGCGTGGATAGAGAAGCCAAGACCCGGGCCAGTCTTGCTGTAGGCCTCAGGGAATGTGACACCCTTGGGCGCGAGAGTACCGCTACCAGTAACAGTAAGCTGGTAGCAAGTGACGTAGTGCTGAGCACCACCAGCAGGCCCAGCGGCGTGGAGCGCAATAGCCTCAGCACGGAGGAGGTAGTCACCAGCGGCGAGGTCCTTGGGGATGGTGAAGTCGAGCTTTCCGCCTTTGTTTCTGTCAGAGATGTTGAACGAGAGAGCATAAGTGACATACAGTTGTAGTTGAGGTCCTTGGTACCCCAGAAGTCGTTGTCTCCCTGAGACGCGGCTGGGTTCTTGGCCCAAGTGTTCTCGTAGATCTTGAAGAACTCGCTGGAGCCATCGGCAGTGGCGGCATCCTCAACCTTGGACAAGTATGCAAGGACGGGTCCCCAGTGAGCACCACCAATGGCCTCGGTCTTGCAGTCACGGCTGCTGAATTGCTGGTGCATTTCAATGGTGACTGTGTCACCAGCTGCAAAAGCACACTTTCCCTTTGCGGCAGCAGGGTTGACGTTGCCTTTGAAGTTGCATCAGTATGGGAGATGATGATGGCACCAAAAAGAAGAAAAAAAGGACATACACTGAAGAGCCTTGCTGGTGTAGTCCTCGATGGGGCTGTTGGTAGAAGGCAGCCTGGCGCAGGTGCTCTCGAGATCCTTTCCATTCTTCCAGAGCTGTTGGAAAGTGGCGTGGGCGTTGGCCATGGCGGCCAAGGCGGCGATGGTGGCGACGGTCTTCATCTTGTATATGGTGGTGGGGGAGATGTAGTAGCGATGGTGTTGAGAATGAGTGACACGTCAACTGAGTGACAAAAGAGTGACTGAAAGAAACAAACAAGCAGAGAATGACGAATCTTGCAAAGAAGGAATGTCCAGCGCAGCTGCGTTAGAGTTTCCATGGGGTGAAGGGCATGATGGTTTATATTGCTCTGCGTAGGAGTCAGTGTCTGCCGTGAGGGCCGAGAACCAGTTAGCATCGGCGTGTTTAGCCGTTTCGTCGACGACGCATCCAATATCCAGAGCGGCACAGGGGGGGCGCAACGTGTTTGAGGCAACGGGCGGGAAACATTGACAAAGGAACACATGCTATGCCCCAACGAGGAGTCTGCGGGCCACGACCAGGCGGGCGGGTTGGTGGTGGAGAAGTGACACATGTCCGACGTGGTCTAGCGCCGGCAGCCTTGGACCAATCCGGACTAGCTCCAGTTTGATGATGCTATAGGCGAGATTTCGGTGCACTGCAGGGGCTCCCTCTCCATCCTTTTCAATTGTTGCTGAGATGTATCTATTTACTGATTCTACACCCCAATCTCTGCTTTTACCCAACCTGTGCTGATTCCGGCATCTGCGGTGTCATGCCGGACGCTGCAGAGTTGATGGCTTGTCGCAGCCATCCAACGTCTACGTACTGTGTAACAGCCGGTAAGCACCCAAAACTAGCTTTCGCCAGCCACGTGAAGGCTCTGGTTGCCCGTAGCCATGATGCCATGACGTTGAGCGGGTGGCTTTAATCATGGGCTATCCTATGTAATTTTACAGGGCTGTGCCGTGAGTTGCACGGCGGGTCAAGATGCAGTGGCCTGATCCCGGAGACAGAGCTGCTCCACGACCCCAAAGTGCACAGGCATGCCGTTTGTGAGTCTAATATAAAAGGCAAAGGCGATCTCACAGTAATACACGACGGCATATTCCAATGCTGACAGGAGAATGCCTCCATTGGGGTGAAGGGACGTATACTTACATGTTCCGCGCGCGCCAAGCTGAAACGCTGTGGTGGATCCAGACGAAACACCATGCGCAGGATCGCCTCATGGATTTTCGTCTCTTATTAGCGCCGACATGTCGTTCACACGAGAGCGCATGAATAGCGGCTAAAATGGACGGTAAAGTACATTCTACGCCAACCGCATTCTGACGGCCATAGGCCCAGCGTTGTTTCGTTCAGATTGTTTTATTCTTCGGCTTTACTAGGCTTCTTATTTCTCCCAGTACCATCGCAGTGACAACTGAGGTTTCAGGCTCACTTACATATATCCTTATCCAACAATGTGCAATACTCATGTCTTTTTTGGCCACGTCCGCATAACATGGGTATTGACGAGCCGACCTTTGTGAAGATCAAAAGCCCTTGACTACGACTCTTGCCGCAAATCCGTGACTTTGTACTCCGGTCCTCACACTAGTCCGACCACCCATCATGTGATCGAGTTACTGGTGACTTTTCCAGCACTCCCTTGGTAACCGCTCGGTCGAGATCAATGCCCACCCGATAAATCGCTCAATCCCCAAACAAGCAACCCTCTAGCAGCCTTCTCTAGGATCCTCTGGCTTGAGTATAGAGGAGCCTATCCCTTCATAGTTCGAAATCTCCGAACAAGTGGGTCCACAAGCAATCTCTTAGTATCGAATAATAGGGCAAAATATTACTCCGATATCCTATATTGGGCATTTTACAGATGGGAGATTGCTCCCAACCAGTCTCCTCCCGTCTTCTCTCATCATAACTGGGAGGATTTAGGGGGCCATGCCAAGACATGTCAATTCTACCATGATTGTCCAACTGAAGAGAGTGGGGATTTGACTGCCTGCCAATAGATTGATGTTGACTTGGCGTTGCGAGCCACTAACTGACAGCTTTCGTAGCCACTTCCCCTTCCATCTCTTCGCGATGGACTCTAAGCAAACCCTCACACTCTCAATAACCCTACAAGACTCGCACCTTTCCCGATACCCGCCGTACCGAATACATGAAATACTGGATCAAGAAACCCTCTCGCTGAATCAAAGCATCGGCGGTATACAGCCTGAGACATTATGCGACTGGCTGCTGGGCGGTGACCTGTTGGAATAGACCCGTCCAGACTGATGTCGGGGGTCGGGAAGATTGCGGAAAAATATTGTGCGAGACGTGCACGGCGGAACCCGTCATAGGCTCAGTGAAAGCCCGTGCTTGCACGTCCTTACGTACGTGGCACAGTGGCAGTAATGGACGACACACAGGACATGGAAGAGCAGATTCATAGCTGCTGCTCAGTTATTCGTCACAACCGCCACAAACCAACTTGCGGTTGGACGTGTGTCTTGCAACTCGAGGACTCATGAGCTCGTCTCATGGCTAAGCGGTGTCAACGGCCCAGACTCGCCTCCACTCCTGTTTATACACGGCCACATGTCAGATCAAAAATGGCTTGGTTGTGGGTCACGGTAACAGCCGATGCCATTCACAGATACTCAACATTTTGAAACAGCGATGACCGCCAAAGACCGATAAGAAGACGTAATCATGCCTGGCGATGGGCTGAAGCTGTGGTGGCGAGACTGAGAGTAAAAACACACACATAGAGGCGCTGCACCAGAGAATTGGCAGAGGTTGTGGTGGCGAGACTAAGAGTTAAAGAATACAGAGGCGCTGTACCACGTAATTGGCAGCGAAAAGCATTTGTTACTATTTGAGTACAATGTACTGTAGCCGAACCTGACACTTGGTAGCGTATCCGCGGACAAGCCCTGGGCGCCTCGCCCTTAGGTATGGAAATTGTAGTAAGTTCTTTGCCCGACACGCTAACATACTAGTACCAGTACACTAAGCATCCAGAGCACTTCGCCTCACCAGCAAGCGAAGATGTGGCGCGTCAGCATCAGCTTTTATGCATTCATATCACACGCCGAGTACTTGGTGCCTGGCGTTAGACGCAGGGGGTTCACCCATCAGGTCCTTTTTCCAATACGTAAAAGATGGGGCAGTTGGACAAAAATCATACCAGCCAGATAATTCTAGCTGCGCTATCTGAGTGGAGATATCGCCCGCGGTAGAAGTTGACATCGTTGACACGCCAAAGTAGTTGAAGGATGCTAGGTAGCCGGACTCCGGCCCCTTTCATGATCGTCCGGTGCACGGCTGGGCGAAGCTTGTTTTCACATCTCAAACAACGACTTCTCGGCCCTTTTCTTCTCTCGCTGCGCCATTGGGCTTTCTGCATCGCCACAAACTCGAACAAGCATCCATTCTCGCAGAGGCTTCGCAGGCTGCCGTTATGACAATTCCCGTAAGCTTCCGGCGCCCCAAGAAATACCCCGCGTTCACAGCAATACAATAGCGTGCCCTGACTAGCCACTGGGTCTCCGCCAGCCGACACGATATCGCGATCAGGAGTGTCGTATCATACGACCGTTATCAAAATATACTTTACAATATCCGCGCGTTGGGTTCGTTGTGAACAGCTTGTTGTGCCTGCATGCGCACGCGAGTTTGTGACGTTGGCGACTTTCAGCCTTAAGTTCGTTTGTCCCTTGATGCAGGTACCGGCACTTTATGCCGCGCATTTCTTTTGTAACGAGCAACGACAAGCGAAGCCACGACTTGACTCTCTGCAGATCATATACCGATTGACGTGGTGTTGGTATTGGGTGGCTGATCTCGTGTTCTGCAAAAGGGTCAAGCGTCTGTGTGGCGTTCCATGGCATCCATATGGACGCTGAAAAAGAAATTCAACCTCGCTTTTCTCTTGATACGATTTGCTGATAACGCCCACAAGGCGAAGATCGTGCCTCGCTACATCTCTGGATTTCCTTTTCTAGTAACTATTCACGATGCCAGTGTCTCAAGTCTCTATCTTTCGGGCTTAGCCTTTGGCGGGCCTTATACGCAGTCCCATAGTTCAACAAAGGAGATGGATTGAAGGGAAACCTCAGCTCAGAGATGATCATTTATAGATGGCGTTGTCCCTGAAGAATTCGATCGACCAGGCCAGCTTCTTTCCAATACAGTCACTCGTTTCTTTTGTGGTCGTTCTCAGAGCAAGTCCCCAGCCGTTGCACTTGTCCCGTCTGTTTACTGCTACGCCATGGTCGCCTACAGTCCTTACCTCGCCGCAACGGCATCCCTTTCTTCTGTGTATCCCGCAGTTACTCCTGCCGAGTTTCACGCACCGTCCGCTTGTAATGTTGTGACTGCTATAGTCACAGAATACGCCACCGCAAGGCCCACTACCAATCCTCATGGACATGGTGGACCTTACTACAATCCTTACAATGATGAGCCTCTTCCATTTGTTTGGCCTGGAACACCTTCTCACGGTGAACTCTATCCTCCTCCTCGACCTTCCGCTCCTTTCCCATACGGTGGTCCCGCAAAAGACTCGTACGATGGGCCATACTGGATCCCCAAGGGCACTGACAAGCTCATCCCTGCTCTGCCAAATGTTGAGCAATGCGGAAACTCCCAGTGGGGTACGATTGATAGCCCTCATCTCCCAATTAATGGCCTCCCAGGTAGTCACTCAAATGGCTCGTATCCATTCCCTACCAAGTCCATTGTAAACCCTCCGTATCCTACCGCGGGAGGTCATGGACATGGAGGTCATGGACACGGAGGCCATGGGCACATTTCCTCGAACGTGACCAACACCTACACTGCTGGACCCACTGGCACCCCCGTGGCAGATCCTCTTTGTCCTACCATGCCTGACACTGGAGTGACGAGGACTTACGATCTCCATGTGGCCTACCAAACCATCGCACCAGATGGTGTGACCAGGAACGGACTCACGGTCAACGGCCAATTCCCCGGGCCGCTTATCGAAGCCAACTGGTATGTATGAACCTTGAAGTTCTTCGTATATTCGCTAACAGCTTACAGGGGTGATTGGATTCTATGGAGAGTTACCAACGATCTTACCGACGAAGGCACTACGCTACACCCGCACGGTCTTTTGCAGACAACAACCAGCTGGTATGATGGT